TTTTAAAGTCAAATAAAGATAACATAACAAAATTGATACAACAAATGACAAAATTGTTTTTTTTTTTTGAAAAATCAATCAATGATTTTAACCAAAAAAAAAATTTCTACTATTATTATTATTATTATTATTACTCATTAAACTTGTCATCCGTTTACACATCAAAAAAAAAACAAAAATTTCAATAAACTATACACTAATTTACACCCAAAAAAAAAAAAAATTAAAAAATCTATGACTAACTATGATTAGACCAAATAGTTTTCAATGTTTTTTTTTTATATAAGTAAAATTTTAGTTGACATTAACCAACCAACTAATATAGAAAAAAAAGTAATTTAATGGTTAAGCAATTTTGAATGCATTTTCAGAAAGAGAGAGAGAGAGAGAGAGAGAAATTGAATGCAAATTTTTTTTCTGGTAATTGTTATTCAATGAATGTCTCTCTCTCTCTCTCTCTCTCTCTCTCTCTGTTTCTATTATATCTCAAAAAAAAACAAAATAATAATAAAAATCACAGAAAAAAAATCAGAAATTAATTAATTCATTCATTCATTTGAATTCATTTACCTGAAGAGCTTCTTCACGTCATCGACAGTCGCCTCGAATGGTATATTCTTTACGCAAATCTTAGTTCCCGTTTGTTTTGCCTGTCGTTGTCCTCCTCCTCCTCCTCGTCGTTGTTGTCTTTCATCAGACATTCTTCCGGTTAAATCTTTTTGTTTTCTAATTTCAAAACAACAAAAAAATACAATAAAAAAACAAAAAATACTAAATAAAACAATTGTCACCAAAAAAAAAATCAAACAAACAAACAATACATACGATGTGGTTCTGTTGGATAACTTTAGCTCAAGAGTGTGACCGTCGAGTACGGAATTTTGCAGCGTTTTCAGCGCTTTTTGTGCCGATTTCTGGTAAACAAATTGAATGAATCCGTAGCCCATCGACAACTGTCCTCTGTCCCGATCTTTACGGTACTGTATGTTTGCGCTATAGATTTGGCCGCATCGGTGAAAGTGATCCCTAAAAACTTCGTCCATTGTATCGAAATTCAAATTCTTGACGAATATAGTTGTGTCCTCTTCTGGCTCTATATCTAACAACTCGTCGCTGTTGTTGTCGTTGGTATTCATCGTTTGTCTGGTCGTAGTTGTTGTCGAAGTTGTCTTAATGTTTGTGTCATTAGTATCTTCTCCTTCTTCACCAGATTTGACCCGTCCTTCCAAAACCATCAGCTCTTTGATCTCATCGTCAATACTGGTGGCGGCGGCTGTCGAGTTGGTATCTTTGAATACATTACTGGGCGCCCATTCCAGATACAACGGGAAGTGCTTGAAGTTAGTATAGGCCAACCGTTTGAATGCCTGTTTGGCTTCGCTGGGCTCCTGCATCTCGACAATAGCTGTCACACCATAGGGCGGTAGTATTACCCGATGAACGAGTCCCGATTTGGCAAACAATTCACGGATTTCTTGCGGCTCAGTACTGGCCGGTAAATTCTTGACCAAAATAACAGTAGTACTTCTCGGCTGCGGTGGTGGTTGTTGACCATCGGTAGTATCGCCGCCGCCATCACCGGTGCCACTAAACGCTTTCAATTGGACACCGTTTTCCAGCAGAAAACGTCTCATATCGTTAATAATCTGTGTCTCACCCAATGCCATACGTACGGCAATACTGTCCCGGGTATTGGTATCAGCTAACAGATCCGATTTGTTTACTTTGAATTTTTTGGCCATAATATCGGCCACAGCGTTCTGATTGATAAACAAACTGTTCCACTGATGCGAGCTTTGCGACTGACTTTTCCTATCCTTTAGTTTTTGTTTCTTAAACGACGATGTCTTGTCATTGTCCGCCACTGCATACGGCGGTACATAATCTTCGGGTTTCGGTTTGCTAGCAATCAGATGCAACAGTCGCCCCCGAAAATCAGTCTTATCCAATTCGGCCACTGCCCGGACGGCGTGTTCGGGAAACATATACGTAACAAATGCAAAACCTTTTTGTTTTTTAGTATACGAATCAATTGGTAGATGAAATTCGGCGATCTGGCCATACTTTTCGAACAGTCCGCGCAATTCGGTTTCATCGCACGTATAGGACAGGTTGCGTACGAATATCCGACCCGATTCACCGACCGGTTCGTCAGCCGGTACTGCCGTCAACCATTTTGGCTGCTTTTTCGAGGCCGTGTCCGCCGCCGCCGCCGCGGATTTATTGTCGGTGTTGTTGTTGTTGTTGTCTTCACCGGCGGTTGTTTTCATCACTTTTCGCATTTCGTTTTTAACCTCAATTCGATGGCCGTCCAGAAAACTTCGATGTTTGACCAGTACTTGATTCATATCACCCAACGATCCGAACGACAAATAGGCCATACCTTTCATCTTTGGCGGCATTCGTAGACTCAGTGGTTTCGCTGGACTACAAAACTCTTTGATCTGACGCTTCTTGATCTTATACGGCAATCCTCTCAGTACTAACTGATACTCGTGAACTTGTTTGGGCTCTACTTTCGGCCGGACATTAGATTTATTATTATCTTCTTCTTCCTCCTCCTCGTCCTCCTCTTCCTGATTCACCCCCTTATCGGTGATGTCATTGTCCTCAACAACACCATCAACATTGTCCACCTCCTCGTCATCGATGGCCAAATCGTTACTCCAGACGTGTTTGCCTTTTGCCGAATCGACATTTCGCTGTAATTTCAAAAACTCTTTGAACTGCGGATCCAGTTTGAGTTCATCCAACTCTTCGTTCAGTATCTTCTTCTTGCGTAACCTTTTAGTCTCTTTTTCTTTGCTGTTGTTGTTGTCTTCGTCGTCGTCCTTATCGTCACTAATCAAGTCTTTCTTCTGGTGTTTCTTATCCTTCTTATGCTTCTTAATCTTCTTCAGTTGCTGTTGTCCGTCGACTACATCGGCGGTAATCAGTTGTTCATCGCTTAACTTAACCGTAATTTTATTGGTAAATATATAAGTCTTGTTAAAATAGTCGACAGCTTCGGTAGCCGACTGTTGGTCAACAAAACCGATAATAGCGTGACGTTTATCGGGATTCAGTCGCAAATCACTGATCTGGCCTTTGATGGCAAACCGTTTGCGTAGATCGGCTTCCGATATCTAAATGCGGCGATAATTATAAGACATTGATTAGCCATCAGTGATAATGAAGATCTAATTATGGGATCAATTGATTCAATCGGATATTTCTCTTACTTTTTTCGGCAGATTTTGAATGAAAATTCTCGACATTTTTCTCTTCTTCTGTTGTCTTCTTCTTCTGTCGTTTTCTTCTGTCGTCTTCTTCTGTCGTCTTCTTCTGTCGTCTTTTTCTGTCGTCTTCTTCTGTTGTCTTCTTATTCTTCGAGATATTTATAATAAATAAAAAAAAACTTTTTTTGTTTGTTTTGTTTAGTAAACTATTTTATTGACACTAAAAAAAAATTATCGATAAATACATTGATTTTATTTTTTTTTGTTAATTAATTAATTATTTTAGTTATTATTATTAGTTATAAATAAATGACACGTTTTTTTGGTTAAAAAAATCCTAAAAATAAAATACACTTTAAATGTAAACATATTTTGTAAACGACACGTGATTTTTACACATAAAACATATGAAATGTGTTTATAATATAATAATAATAATAATAATAAAAATGTCTAAACAATTGGTGGCGACATCTCTTTGGTATCAATTAGTTATATATATATATATAAGTTATGATTTAAATTGTATTAAAAAAAAATAATAATAAAATATTTAAATTAAAAAGTTATTATAAATTATAATATTTAAGAAAATAATAAAATAATTGCACACAAAAAATAAGTTTATAACTAAAAAATGTTTTTTAAAAATTAATTTATAGTTAATTTGTTTGTTGTTATTTTTTTTAGTTAATTAATACTAAATATTAAAAAAAGTTTTTCAAAAAAAATTAATTTATAGTTAATTTGTTTGTTATATATTTGATTTAATTAATTAATACTAAATATTTAAAAAAAGTTTTTTTTTAAAAATTAATTTATAGATAATTTGTTTGTTATATTTATTTTAGTTAATTAATACTAAATAAATAAAAAAATAGTTTTAAATATATATTTTTTATATCAAAAAAAAATTATGTTTGATGTTTGTTTGGATTTTATAGTTGATCCACAAGTTTCAAGTGATGATGATGATGAGCTAACTGATCCCATTGTCATATATGAGGGAGGGATCTATTGAATGGTGATAATGAAAAAATCAAGTTTACCGCCGGCGGCGGCGTCCAGGACTACTATAGATAGTCTGGCCGCCGACCTCCACAACAATTGGTCCACGTTTTTGATTACTACCGCCCGGATAATAATTATTAGACCATGGATCCCGTTCCCTTTGAACCCTAACCCTAACCAAACCGCTTAGCACTTCCAGTGCCAGATTGATACCCTGCGATCCCAGTGTTTTGTTACGCTGAAGATCCATATTGAAAAATGGTCTAAAAATAGGAGGGGGTGGGGTGGGGGGTATTCCCAAAATAATTATCAAAAAATTAATATATATATATATCTATAGATAGTTAACATACCCGACATCGACACCTACTCTACCGGTTTTACCATTGATACCATTGCCGAAACCGTCGACATTGACCACTCCTGGTCCCTGAGTTGTCCCATCATATCCTGGATCTTCTCCGGGAAACGGCTGCTGCTGTTGTTGTCGACTATTGAAGTTACGAGTAGTAGGCGGTGGAGGCGGTCGTGGCGACGGTTCCTCGTCCTCGTTGTCCACATAACGAAACTGTTTGGCGGCGATAGCCCTGGACGGCGGCGGCGGTGTCGGTGGTGGTGGCGATTGGCTATCATTACCGCAAACTATTACCGATAATACTAATAATAATACCGAAACTAATGTTAAATATTTAAACATTTTTTTGTTGGTTTTCTCGGTCTATCTCTTTGTTTGATTGTTTTTAGTATATATTAGATAAAAGTTTTCCACTGAAATAACTACTATAATAATAAAAATAATTTTTTTTGCAAATATATAAAAGTATTAAAACCTTTAAACTAAACTCAGGGTTACTATACTGTATTATAATCAAATAAATCTCTGTTTGTATGTGTGTTTGGGAGGGGGAATGGGTTGGTTGGACTGGTAGTTAAAAAATCAACTGTCACTTCCTCTATACCATAATGTCTTTAATAACTATACTGTATAATACAATTACAGTACTAAACCAAACCAAACAGCTAATCAACATTCAAGTAAATAATAAATATTATTTATTTTATTATTAAAATTATAATATATATATATTTAATACTACTGTCCTCTCTCTCTCTCTCTCTCTCTCTCTCTCTCTCTCTCTCTCTCTCTCTCTCTCTCTCTCTCTCTCTCTCTCTCTCTATGTATTACACATATAATATGAAAACAAAATTTCAAAATAAAATTCAAGACACAATTATTACCAGTGAACTGGTATATCAACAAAAAAAATAAATAAATAAAAGTTTACTTCCTATACATGTATAAAATCAATGTTATTATTATTATTATTATTATTGACAATTGACTTTCACTGCAAACTATTATAATATATATATATTAAACTAACTATAAAATTATAGTTTATAATAATAATAATAATAATAACAATGTTGACCTGAAAGTTATTAATAATTAATTATTTGATAAACATTGAATTTATCATATAATTAAATAATTAATTATTATTTTTAAAAAAAACTATTTGGTTTGTATATTGATGTTTAAATCAATATTCAATTAATAAAAAAATAATTGTTTATTACTGTACATATATATATATATATAATTTTTCAGAAAATAAATTGCATTTAAATTACATTAATTGATTTATTATACTTTAAAAATTTATTCACAAATAATAATAATAATATTTAAGATAAAAGTTTTATTTACTGTTATTTTCCGCGTAATGACCTAAATATCAATTAATAAAATAAAATAAGTCAACAAATTTGCATCACATTTGATTCAATAATAATACTTTTAAAAAAATTGTTTTAAATATTTTATTATTGTTAAATAATTTTGCATATATATATATAAAATAATATATGATATATAATTTATGGTTATGTAATAAAGTAATAGCTATTTTTTAAAAGTAAAAATTTATTTATTTTTTAAAAAAAATAAAACATAAGATAACAATCATTTGATTTGATTTTTTTATGGTTCATTAGATTTGATTTTAATTTTTTGTTTACTGACTGATTGATTGCAATGAAATCACATAATAATAATAATAATGTATTTATTTTTGTTAAAAACTTGTTTTTTAAAGTATTAGTTTTGATATTTGCATAAATTAATAATTATTATTATTATTGTTATCATAAAACAAATTATTAGTAAATTGTATATTTTAGAAAAATAATAAAACTAAAAAAATATGTGATTCAAAAATATGGGTAAATTTTGTTACATATTTATAAGTGTATAATAATAATAATAATATAAGCATTGATAGTTGATGATTAAATTAGCATGGAGATTATTTAATAATTTATTTATTTATCTACTAATTAGTAGATATCAGTAAAATTAATTATAATATATTGATATACATTTAAATAAATAAATGATTAAATGATAATAAAAAATTTTTAATAATAGTATTATTAGATAATGATAACAATAATATTTTTATTTTAATTATCTAAAGTATAAATTAATATTAACCCTTATCAGTTGAAAATGCTAATAATAATAAACTATAAAATAATATAAAGTTATTTAAATATATACATGTATAGGGTCTAGTTCATAAGATCTAAACTCATTTGACCCAAACTTACTTGACCCAACTCATTTGATCCAAACTCATATGACCCAACTCATTTGAACCAAACTTATTTGACCCAAATCACTTGACCCAAATCATTTGACCCAAATCATTTGAACCAAATCACTTGACCCAAATCATTTGACCCAAATCATTTGAACCAAATCACTTGACCCAAATCATTTGACCCAAGCTTATTTGACCCAATTATTATTTTATTTTTTCAAACTATATAATTATATATAAATGATACAAAACTTAATAAATAGTTATAAAATTATGAACATTAATATTTATTACATATTTATTTTTTAACCAATTGGTAATATCTCTGGCTTTTTATATTTTTTAAAAATTAATGTGTAATAAATAAATAAATATTAATAAGATCTAATTTTTATAACTATTTAGATTATTATTTTATTAAGTTTTATATCATTTATATAGTTTGAAAAAATAAAATAATATTTGGGTCAAATAAGCTTGGGTCAAATGATTTGGGTCAAGTGATTTGGTTCAAATGATTTGGGTCAAATGATTTGGGTCAAGTGATTTGGGTCAAGTGATTTGGGTCAAATAAGTTTGGGTCAAATGAGTTGGGTCAAATGAGTTTGGATCAAATGAGTTGGGTCAAGTAAGTTTGGGTCAAATGATTTGGGTCAAATAAGTTTGGGTCAAATGAGTTTAGATCTTATGAGTGCGACCGACATGTATATACTGTATATAATAGCTATTTTATTAATTTTAAAAAATTAGATAATTAATTTACAATTAAAATACAGACTAAACTAAATAAATCAATTTAGTTATTATTTATTATTTTTATTTTTGAAAATTTTATACTTAATAAATTAAGCAATTGTTGAATAAAATACATATTTTTAAAAATTATTATATTATATTAGATAATATAATATTTTATATATAAATTCAGATAAATAAATTAATATTTGAAATTTTAATATCATTTAGTTTAATAATTTTGATAAAAATTTGATACTTAAATATGATAGTATAACTTGTTTAATATAAATGTTTAGTATAGAAATATTTTATATATTTAATAAATTAAGCAATTGTTGAATAAAATACATTTATATATCAAAATAGAAAATTATTTTTTTTTAAATTATAATTTTTTAAATGAATTACTAATCTAAAATTTTTTAAAAAAATTATTTCATAAATAGTATTTATTGTTTATTTAATTTATTTAACAAAATTAATAATTTGTAATAATTTATTAAATATTTTATTTGTGTGAAAAAATTAAAAAAATTATTATATTGCTACCAAATAGTATTAATTAAAATTTGATATTTATTTACTAATTATTATTATACTATTGAAATTATTAGTTGAAAATTTAAATCACAAACAATTAATATTCATATAATGATTTAAAATGATAGCAAAAAAAATAAAGTAAAAAATAAAAATAATATATTTTTATTGTTGTTGTTTATTGATTGCTATTGATTGTATTGGCCATCCATTGGACAATAGGTGATATCCGTACGATTAATAATTGGGCGTCAGATTGTCGGCCCAAACACGAAACACCATCAGATATACCTTTATGTATACCGATAAGTACAGCCCTATCCCCGACATACTGTATCAATGGTCCTCCAGAATCACCCTTTAAATTAGGATACAGTTATACAGTATATAATATGTATGCACTATTAAATACTACTACTACTAATAATAATAACTACTACTAACTACTACTAACTACTACTACTACTTACTACTACTAATAATAGTAATAATAACTACTACTACTAACTACTAATACTAATAATAATAATAATAACTACTACTACTAACTACTAACTACTAACTACTACTACTACTACTAATAATAATAACTACTACTAACTATTACTACTACTACTATTACTACTACAACTACTACTAATAATAATAACTACTACTAACTATCACTAATACTACTAACTACTACTACTAATAATAATAATAACTACTACTAACTATTACTACTAATACTATTACTACTACAACTACTACTAATAATAATAATAACTACTATTACTGCAAACTACTACTTGAATATTAACTTAATTCAAGTTTTTTTTAAATATAAAAAAATATAAATATAATTATAAATTACTGGACACATAGCGGTTCCTGTATTTGGCGGATATCTGATCCCAACAATAATATTTCCGTACGGATTATTTGTATCGTAAAATGGTTTCAATATGACTATCCAACCCATCCTAAGTTGTCCAGTATTATGGACGCTATCATCAATCATACCGTAACCGGCAAACAATGCTAACTCGTGTTCCGTATTCATTATATTAGGTTCGGGTAAACAAATACTGTTTATCTGTTGTCCAAACCCGTGTAAACCCGTGGTCGGTATTGTTGTCGTTGGTATCGGTATTTTAGATTTTAGTCTAACTAATGCAATATCGTAACCCGATTTATATCGGTTAGTATGCGTCCAATTGGGATGAGTGAACCACTTGTCCACACCGTATGTATGGCCCGGTTGTTGTCTCATATCCTGAACTGTACGCACAGTATATGTACTCTCGGGTCTTAAAAACAAAAACATTAGTACCGTTTTATATTGTTTTTTCTTTACCATATATATATATATATAGAAATATCAAAGTCATGGTGAATAATGCGAGTTTTCTCCCATATAAAAATATGGGTTTTTTTTTATTTTGGATAATAATTTTCAACCCCCCTGTTTTTGTCTATATTTTAAAGATTTTCCACCCCTTATTTGTCTGTCTGTCTGTCTGTCTGTCTGTCTGTCTGTCTGTCTGTCTGTCTGTCTGTCTGTCTGTCTGTCTGTCTGTCTGTCTGTCTGTCTGTCTGTCTGTCTGTCTGTCTGTCTGTCTGTCTGTCTGTCTGTCTGTCTGTCTGTCTGTCTGTCTGTCTGTCTGTCTGTCTGTCTGTCTGTCTGTCTGTCTGTCTGTCTGTCTGTCTGTCTGTCTGTCTGTCTGTCTGTCTGTCTGTCTGTCTGTCTGTCTGTCTGTCTGTCTGTCTGTCTGTCTGTCTGTCTGTCTGTCTGTCTGTCTGTCTGTCTGTCTGTCTGTCTGTCTGTCTGTCTGTCTGTCTGTCTGTCTGTCTGTCTGTCTGTCTGTCTGTCTGTCTGTCTGTCTGTCTGTCTGTCTGTCTGTCTGT